TGTAGAACACAATTAAAAAAAATTCATTAAATTTTGCCTAGTAGATGTTGCGATAACTTTGCACAAAAATTAAAATATGATTATCAAATTGCCAATTTCCAAATTCTTGGTGATGTATAATCTATAAAATTTGATGATCACAGTAAATTAAAAAAAGCAATAAATTAAAAAAAAACAATTTAAATTCTACTTTATTTTCAATATTATAGCGATTTGCAAAAAGATGTAAACATGTGATTTTAGTGATGATAATGGCTGAGAATCACTAAGATTCCAAATTGTCTGCTACTTTATATTTTTGATTGATTATATTTATATTTTTTGAAATTAGTTTAATTCTTAAAATCTCAAAAAATCTATATAATCTCTAATTCTCACATGAAAAAGTGATCTGCAGTGTTCACATCTTTTTGCAAAGCACAATAAGTTTTGTTTCAAAAGCCATGAATATATCAGAATTCGTCAAAGTAAAGAGAGTATTTTAGTTCATAATACAGTCAGACCTTCCTAAATGCAACCCTCTAAATGCAACATCTCTCTGAAGACTAGCCCCATAATGGAACTTATAGATAAGTGCATGTTCTTTATTCTGGCCCACTTATAAAAACTCCCTTCATAAATGCAACCACGTGATTATTAGCCAATCGAATTCATCATTTCCAGGCTACTAAAGCCATATTTATCACATGATAATAGTACCATTATGATTTTATTAGTGTTCTCTAATTGCAACCCTCCCTAAATGCACACTTTAGAGTTGGTCCCAACGACGTGACTCCTCATCATCGAATATGTCATTTATATTAAATGTACTGATAAATCAATTGGAATTGTTGTCATATTAGCACGTGCCCATAACTTCTCTTCCGTTAAGTCTTCTCCGTAATGTTCAAGTTTTTTTCGAATTTCTGTTCACGTGTTGTTTGAGATGGCACAATCTGAAACATTTAACGGTCAAATCCTCCATGCTTGTATGGTAATTCCCATTTTTTCACCAATATTATAAGCATTTCATATTTCTGCTTGAGGCCGATCGCCAGAATTAGATTTTATTAATTGAAGAAACTGAATAGCAATTGATATTATTTGTTTTGATATTTAATTATAATAGTTTGAAATTTACGTAATAGCAATAATTTTAATCTTTTAATAATATTTTTAACTATGAATAATTAGTTTTATCTTTTTATTTTAACAGTTTTAACTACAATATATATTGTTATGTCGGCATCATCAATAACTATCTACCTAAAATAAATGAAATCTTTTTTAATTCTATGTACTAATATGATTAAAATAAAAATTTATCGATTTTATATAGGTAATTATTAAGATATTTCCACCCAAATTTGAGAAAAATATAGTAATAAAATCATCTTAATATGTACTGTATCAAACTCCCTTAATCTATATCCAAGTGCTATAACGCACTCTACTTCGTTATAGCAGACCTATTAAAGCGGATCGCTCGCTATAATGTGCTTCTATGACAATTTAATTTAATTATATGAAATTATAATGGATATTATTATAATAGTTTATATTTCACGATTAATATGCTATAGCGAGGGTAAAATATACAATTTTAATTAATAATAATAAAAATAAAATAACTGTTTCAAAAAATTTATTATAATAATGATTGAGAAAGTACACAATTATGATATAGTGTAAAACAATATAAATCAACACCTTTTCAGTGAAAAGTGCTAAATTTTAAATCTACATAATCATGATTGGCTAATTCTATATAATCAATAAAAACTTCAAATTGATAATAACTTTATAAAATTAAGAAAAAATAAAAATTCTTTTTAGCTAAATTATAGTTTATATTAAAGCATTACTTTATGGTGTTTCGCTGTGTTCTAAATTATTACAAACTTTTTTCAAAGAAAAATTTTTCGTATCTTTCTGATGCTAGATGTATAAAAACTGTATTCTTGCATAACCTCAAAAATTCCAATGATACCATAAGATTGCACTTTCCCTCGAACTCTTTCATCGTTTTATAGATCTGTTGGGTGCAGTACTCGGAGATTCTAGAGAAATCACTTGTTTTGAACAATTTATCTACCGATGTAAGTTCTCCAACATCCTTCTCACGAAGACATGAAGCGAGTTCATTGATATAGAACATAAACATTTCGAATGTAGTTTGCAATGTTCGGTATTCCAAGTAAGTGCAATTGACATCTCTCAATAGAAACATCAGAATGAGGACTAGGTAGGATCCGTGACATTTGAGCTTAAAGATAAAGTATTCGTTCTGATTAAATGATACTTGTAACTGTTGATTCACGGAGGTCACCCATGCAATCGCTTCAGTTCGTAATAAAGTATATTTATCTTTAAAATCCTTCTTCCAATGATTCATGTAAATGGACAGCAACTCAGATACTAAAGGTGGTAAGTTATTCTCTCTACCTTCTAGACCTTTGATAACATCAATGTAGTCTATTCCCTTGAAAACCATCAAGTCGTCGAAAATAAATATAAAATAACAGTAAGCTTGAATGGCAGAGGAATTGTGAGAGTCGGGTATAAGAGACGAGGTGAGTCTTATATCATTTAGTTTAGCATCAAGTTTGTATTCGTCAATAACACGTTGAGAAATGGTGTCAATGTCGTTGAAATAATTTAACTTGACATCGACGGATCGGTTAATCCCGAAGTATTCCAAGAGTCCCAATATTGTTTTGCTTTCTTTTTTATCTCCATCGAATACGAATGTTTTAATGCTCATGTTGGTGATAGTGATAGTGATTAATTACAAGAAAAAGAATTTATAGTGATCAATTGCGAGAAAATGAATTATAGTGATCAATTGCAAGAAAAAGAATTTACTTACATGCGTAGAGGAAAATTTTGGTGGTATTTATAATAAAGACTAAGTCAGTTTTGCATAACAGTTTCAAGTTAATATTTGTCTTTCAATAATTTCAATGATTAATTACATGCCCAAGTTCAGAAATTAATATTTCATAGTACAGTCAGACTTCTCTAAGTGCACGCTCTTGTGACAACACATTAATAACGTGCATATAGAGAATAATAAGAAAAGTGCATTTATAGTGGTCAAGTATATATTGGGCCAGCACTTGAGCGTGCACTTAGAGAGTTCTGATTGTAGAATAATATCTATAAATTAAATCAATAATCTGGAATTGCAACACAAACTTTTAATCACAGGATTTAGTTATACAGCATGATTCACTTTAGGAATTTGAAAAGTTCTATATTAATTGGTCACTGTTTTTCACATTTTTAGAAGGGACACAGGTAAAATTATGTTTAATAGAGTACAATATTTCTGTTGCCAAAAGGGGTCAATAAAAATATCAATACTGTAGTAACAAACAGCGCACGGATAATATCAATGAGACGATTTTCATAATAAATATTATTACTCGGCTGTTGACTATTGATTCTTATTGACCTCTTTTTGTGCCAAAATTTGATGCAATAGGAATGTTTACTGGTGCTTATTGCACCTTATTGAACCTACCAATAATTTGCCAGTGTAATTAATTTTTGATCTAGATAGCTTCTAGTTTATCGAATTTGAAGTGATGCATTTAGAGGGTCCAGTTTTCTGCCTGCACAAATATGTACAAATTCTGCTGATTCTGCTTAAAAAAAGCCGAATAAGCAGAAAAAGCAGAATTATCGTTATTACTGTATATAGTTATAAATTTCTAAATATAGTTATTGTTCTGATGATTGAAATAATTTTTATTTAATTACCTATCGATTAATCATATCTTTAAATTTTAATTGGTTAAGCAGATTATGCAGAAAAGACAGAACAAAAGCAGTAATTTAACGGCTTAAAAAAGCAGATTTCTGGACACTCTATGATGCATGTACATAGTGATTGGACCCGGTAGACATTCGCGGGTGGGTCAACCCGTAAAACCAACCCACAGGCCCGTGGCGTGTACGCGTCTACTATCGGAAAGTTAAATGGGTCCAAACACTACATGCACACTCATGAATAATAAAAATACTGAAATTCTTTGTGTACAGTTAGCTGCCTATGGAAATTTATCATCATGATAGATTTTCCATAGACGGCTAACTGTATACAAAATATAATTGAAAGTCCGAACGGCCTTTTTCCCTTGGCAGCACTCATATGGGGCGTTGTCAATCAAAACATAGCATAGTAACATGTTACTCGTAACTATACTTGTTAGCCAAACCTGGACAAATCCCAAACTCCTAAAAAATGATTGCTATTTACTATTTATAAAAATTAAATCAAACAAATAATCTTAAAATTTTATAAATATATTATCTATAGCTATAATAATATGTACTAGTTATCCGTTGTGTTTTGATTGATAACTGATTATTCACTAGGACATTTACTATGAAAAATCAGGCATCAATCACTAGAACTCGACTGATAACTAAGTTATCCGACATGTCAACGTAAACATCGAATGATTTTTGTGTAAGTTATTCGTCCACCCCCTAATACAAATACACATATTTTTATCACCTCTGTAAGAGGTGATGAAAATTTGTGTATTTGTATTAGGGGGTAGCCGAATAACTTACACAAAAATCGTGCTAGTTGACTAGAGTCAACTGATCGAAAAATAAGGCCGGGCATGGTTACACACTACAGCACCGACCCCAATCAGTACACATGAACTAGCTCTGTTAAGCACATAACGATCAGAGCCATTTCAAGCATCCAAGCATGAAAAACACATGCATGCCCGGCATCACTGATGATTGACAATCACAAAATCATGCGTACAACAAATCAGACCAATTATACGAAGGCCCAGTATCACTAACGATTGGCAGCCACAGGACTGCACATAAAGCAAATGTACAACAAGCCACCAACCCCTTTTCATATAAATACACGAAACATCAGCTATGATAACTCTCACCTGAAATTCCAGCAAGAAATTAATTTTTTGCATAGAATCTAAAGCAATAATAACAATAATAATACAAACCTTTTCCTATCATCATCTATAATGAATACAGATAATACAGCAAATACTAGTACTTCCCAACCTACTAGTGAATTAGTCGACCTCATGTCAACACTACTTGTCGATCTGTCCCAGATCGACAGTAACACCAAGGTTTACATCGATGCGGCATGTCAATCCTCGGCAAACTCGATCGTTGCATCGATCAAATCATACCTTGACCAACATACAGCAACCCAAAACAAATTAATCAATAGACTAAACCAACACATTGACATATGTTTCAACCATATTCAACAAGACAAACCCAGCAACAACATTTCGAGCTACAACAAGACGAACCCACCACAATAAAACATACACACGAATCCAGTACAATATTATCCCAACAACCACCAACAAGGAACTTCATCATCTACAAGACACAACCACGAGTTTAATGCTGCTACAACCCTACAACAGACGAAACAGACCGACCAAAGCACAGCCGTGCAGCAAGGTAATTGTCCACTAACCCCTCTCCTCAACAACCTTATCATCAACTCCCCAATCACACAGCCTAGCGCAGATACAACTATCACCCCGAGTACTCAGCACGTTGCGCACTAGAGCAACTGTACAAAAATTCTCTTCCTTTGAATACAACAATGCCAACCTCCCCCAGTTTCCGGCTTCACTAATACCCAGGCTGCCCACATTGAGAGAATCAGACTGTGGTGGATCCTCAACTGGTCCGACAGTCAGAAAGCATTAAAGATGCTGCCCAATAAACCGACTTACTGCCACACCTATGAAAGGCTATTGCAGTTGGTAATTTCGTTGACCTCATCAAGTTCAATCACAAAACCCTGAAGGCAAACATGAAGTACAACGAAGAGGAGCAAACATTACAAACTGCCGAGGGTGGTGTCATAGCCATCAGAAATAGTGTTCCTATTGAACCTAGGTTCAAAGTTCATGAACATATTCAAAGTTTTGAATAAAAAAAAAAGCATATAATCACAAAGATAAAAATACTTATATCTCATGATCTACTAGACCAA